GCCACTCCATCTGGGCTCCTGTGCTTTGCTGGAGACATTAAAGAAAAATATAGCAATGTCCACACCTTTATGCAGTTCATTTTACGACCTGCACAAAATAGTTGAACTTCAACCAGCTAATGACATTGCACCTGTGTCCTGGTCTGCTACAGGCAGTCCTCTCAAAAACTCTCTTAGAGCAAGAGATACAGGCATAACAAAGAAAAAAGGCAGAAGAACAAAACAAGGAATGAGGACATCTGAAAGTGAGGAAATTCTACAGAGCTAGGGATTAACCTGGAATTAAAGGGGGAAGAGAACATGTGCTTTCTTCTTAAATCCAGAGTTAGAAAATGTTTTTTTAAACAAAACAAACAAACAAACAAACAAACGAAAAAAACCAGAGCTACAGAAAGGATTGTTCATCTGTGATTTGGGAAGATCACAATGAAAAGAGAAGAGGCTGCCCTAACTGGTTTAGTTTAGTGGATAGAGCATTGGCCTTCAAACTGAAAGGTCCTGGGTTTGATTTCAGTCAAGGGCATGTACCTTGGTTGCAGGCACATCCCCAGTAAGGGGTGTGCAGGAGGCAGCTGATCAATGTTTCTCTCCCATTGATGTTTCAAACTCTCTATCCCTCTCCCTTTCTCTCTATAAAAAATCAATACATTTAAAAAAAAAGAAAAGAGAAGAGAAGAGGCTTCTTGGGTGTTAGAATCCAGGCCTCTGACATCATTGGAATTAATTCTAAGCTGCTCCTAAATGAAGTTATGCTTTGTCAGCTGGCCATACAGATGCCTCCTGGCTAGGTGGCCTTGGGTGAGTTACTTTACCTCTCTATTTTTGACCCTACATACATTACAGAGTTGTGAGGACAAATGAATTGTTGACTGAGCATCAATGCATCAGGAGGCTTCGCTAAAATTTAAAACAGCAAAGATTTATTTAAGGTCTCAGAAGTTGCTGCTTTTATTCAGATAAGGGAAGCTCGGGGAGGCTTTTTCTGTATCTGTTGAATCTCAAATGTCTTCAGTTTAAAATCATCTTTATGCTAATTCTGGTTTTCCAAGTGGATCCCCACAACATACACACACAAAGTTAATGAATACTTGGAATAAGATTTGTTGTTTTTGTTTTTGCTTTTATTTTTATAAGATCCCCCCCCCCCTTTTTTGAGATTAAAATGAACATGCTCACAACACAAGTAAAATCAGAAGTAGGAGAGAGATTGCTCTGAAGGCATATTTGGTCACCCAAAATCATTAAGCAAGACTATCAAAAACATAAAGTGTAAAAAACACCAGAAAAGCCCGAGCCAGTTTGGCTCAGTGGATAGAGCATCAGTCCATGGACTGAAGGGTCCCAAGTTTGATTCTGGTCAAGGACACATTGCAGGCTCGATCCCCAACACTGGTTGGGGCTAAGCAATTGATGTTTCTTTTTCACATCTGCGTTTCTCTCTGTGTGTTTCTCTTTCTTAAAAAAAAAAAAATACCAGAAAAACCCTCACATCTTTTCCAAAGTACCTTTAAGATGGGAAAAAGCAGGCCCTTGAAACGTTTGGTTCTTTTTATTTCCCGGTTCAAATTCACATTGTGGTTTTGGCGAGGTGGTAGAGAGCGAGTGCCGCCTGTGGTGGCCCTGCCCACAGTGAGCAAATAGGAGGGAATCCACACCAAGAGGACTTACTTTAGATTGTGAGAAGCAAGTGAAAGGTGAATAGGTAGGTAGGTCAAAGTGACCTCTCTCTCTCTCTCTCTCTCTCTCTCTCTCTCTCTCTCTCTCTCTCTCTCTCTCTCGTTTAACTTTTCCTTTTCGGCTGCCAAGTCATCCTCAGCAGTGAAAATAACCATCCTGTTTGCCTGTAGCTATTTCAACCTCCTCACCTTTATCTCCATCCTCTCCCTCACCATCACCTTCTTCCTCTTCCTCTTCCTCTGCCAGTGGTCAGCCTCCTGCTCCTGGTTTCCCTTGTACGCATTCACATTAACAGGGGCGTGTCTCCCATTCTCTGGCTCCTCTACAACTTCTTCTACCCTGTTTCCCCGAAAATAAGGCAGTGTCTTATATTAATTTTTGCTCTCAAAGATGCACTAGGTCTTATTTTCAGGGGATGTCTTACTTTTCCATGAAGAAGAATATGGTACACATTTATTGTTAATTGAAAATAAAGGAAATTTATTACCTGTATACGGTAAGGTAAACTAATTTTCATTCTGAGATAGAGCCTAGGGGGGGCCTTATTTTCGGGGGGATGCCTTATGTTTCACTCAGAAGGAAACCTGTAAGTAGGTCTTATTTTCGGAGGATGTTTTATTTTCGGGGAAACACGGTAGCTGGTGGGTCATGCCAGGATCTGATGCAGTGGATTTAAAAGAAGTATGAGGTTGGGGACTCTGGCAACTAAGCTGTGGGTGTCTGCAGTGGCTGTAGGACTGATACCCAGGGACATTGCCAAGACAGAACATCTGGTCTAATATAACTATTTCTTAGGGACAAACAGGATAACATAATTGCCAGACCTCATACCAGTCTGAAGTTTATACATGAACTTCTTATTATTTGTTTGTTTATGTATTTATTTATTGTTAATCCTCACCTGAGGATGTTTTTTCCATTGATCTTTCAAAGAGAGTAGAAGGAAGGAAGGAAGGAAGGAAGGGGGAGAAGGAGGGAGGGAGGGAGGGAAGGAGGGAGGGAGGGAGGACAAGTGAGAAACATCCATGTGAAAAAGAGACATCAGTTGGTTGCCTCTAGAACACACCTGCAACCTAGGTATGTGCCCTTGACTGGGAATCAAACCCATGACCCTTTGGTGCATGGACCGATGCTCTATCCACTGAGCTACACCAGCCCAGGCTTAATTAAGAGTTTTATGGTCAATGTTTTTTTGTTTGTTCGTTTGTGGGGGTTTTTAATTGTAGTTTTGTTTATTTTTCTATATATATTTTATTGATTACTGTATTACATATGTGACCTTAGGCCCCAGTGACCGCCCCCCCCCCCACCTCCCTGCTCATCCTCACCCCCTCTCCCCCTCAGAGTCTGTGTCTATTGGTTATGCTTATATGAATGCAGACAAGTCTTTTGGTTGAACTCTCCCCTTTCCCCCAACTCTTTGATGTGGTTTGATGTAGACAATGCCTGGGAAGGCACATGGGCATTTCTTTAATCATTGTCAGCTGAATTCAAGGCAACAGACAAAGCCACGCCCTGGGAACATACTTTACCAAATAGGCAAGAGTGTTATCTGCTTGGCCTTCATTTCAGCCCTGGTGTGGGGAGTGTAACTGTGACATGGAAATCTAGTCAAGCACCAAGAATGCTAAGGCCTACTCAAGAATGCAAATAAGTTCCTTTGATCCTAAGTTTTTGCTGAAACCCTCTTGGGGAATATAAATAAACATGCTGTGTTGGCTCTGGGTCCCTGTCCCTCCATCAGGGAGGACAGCATGCCACTCAGCTCCCAGCTTTTTCCTTCTATCTTCATGTCTGGTCTCTTTCTTTTATTTCTCAATCCCCAGCTCCTCTACTGGGTAACCAGACCTGCTCTTTTTCCATGCTGGATGCAGAAAGAAACACCTACAGTTTGATGGTCTGATCGATGCTTCTTTGTCTCTGAATCGGTTTTTGTTCATCAGTTTATGTGGTTCATTCTATTCCACAAATAAGTGAGATCATGTAATATTTATCTTTCTCCAACTGACTTATTTCACTTAGCATAATGCTCTCCAGGTCCATCCATGCTGTTGCAAATAGTAGGCGTTCCTTCCTTTTTACAGCAGCATAGTATTCCATTGTGTAGATGAACATTGTTTTTTAATCCACTCATCTGCTGATGGGCATTTAGGCTGTTTCCACATCTTACCCGTAGCTATGGTAAATTGTGCTGCTATGAGCACAGAGGTGCATACATCCTTTCTGATTGGTGTTTCTAGTTTCTTGGGATGTAGTCCTAGAAGTGGGATCACTGGGTCAAATGGGAGTTCCATTTTTAGTTTATGGTCAGTGTTTTTGCCTTAAAGGCTCAGCACATAATGCCCAGGGAAGCAAGCCCAGTGTGTATAAGGTCAACGCAACATGTTCTATTTCCAGGGAAGGCTGGGGTCACACAAAGATGGCTGTGGGATGTGAGTGCCTTTGAGAGACCGAGGGTGGCGGCAGTAGTACAAGGGTGAAATGGATGCTCTGGCATCTTGTCAGATTCCCCTCTTCAAGACCAAGACATTCATCCCCTCAGCTGCCAGGAGGGTTGGCCTCTGGTGGCTGCCTTCACCGAGGCCACATGCCCTTTCTGGTGGTAGCCTGAGTCCGAAGTCTGTTTGCTTCAATTCAGGACTACTCTGAAGGGCCACCCCACTGCCAGGGTTCAGGTGGGATCAGTTAAGGTCTATATAGTGACAGCATCATGGCTCAACTTCCCCCTTTGCTGACATGTGGAAGGAGTCTGTGCTAGGGGTGCTAGACCCATTCTCAGCTCTGCTAGCACCTGGGGGAGAGAATGGCTGCATGAGAGAATGGCTGCATACCACAGAGAGGTGATAAAAGTCTGCTTGATGTTTTGTTCCTTCACCTTCTACCTGATCTCCCTCTAATACATAGATTAAATGATGTCCGTATTGGCTGACAAACAATGTATGACCCCTTTGAAAAGTCACCAGACATTTGTTGTGACTACGACAAGGCCCTGGTGTCTTCCTTTGGGTTCATGCCTGCTGTCCTGTGTGCCTTGGAGCACATTCTTTCTGGAGTCCACTGTTCTCATGTTTCCCTTGGCACCTAAATGAATTTCCAGGGTTATTGCCAGAATTCAAATAAACAACCCTGACTTCAGCCTGAAGAAAAAAAAACAAAAAACGAAGAAGGACAACCTCAAATAACCTTTTTTTCTTCATTTTAGGTACACAGATCTTTTTAGCACATGGCCCTCTGGGATTGCATCTTAAGATATTTATATTCTCTCCCACGTATCTTGAGTTAGAACCTTGTAACCAAGCAAGAAGAACATGTCAGGGACAGCCATTTATATTCGGTACTGACACACTTGTTAGTGGCCGATGACCTGTGTGGCATGGGCACCAACCAACCAAATGGATGCCAGCCAATCAGCGTGCAGATGCCTGTGAACAAGGTGTACTAGTTTGTACTGGGAGAGGTCTACGCTACAGAGACCTGCAACATTAACTCGCCATAAAATATCAGTGGTAAGTGCTGTTTTAGTTGGGTTCCCTCAAAAGCAAAATCTGAGAGAAGGACATGGGTGCAGGTAGTCTATTTGGTAGGTGATCCCAGGAGGCAGAAGGGAGGGAATGGGAGAGAAAAGACAACATTGATATGCTATGAGCTGGTTACTACTGTGGGCAACTGAGGCTCAGTTCTGCTGGGGACAGTCTGAAGAACCATGGAGAAAGCACATCAAAAGTGTTCGGCCAGAGGACGGTGGTTGGGACATCTTACCACTGATCCCATCCCCCATTAGATGAATATCGCTACCTGGGGGTGTTAACTCTCTTGTTCTTTTTTTCTTTGTTTATTTTTTCTCCTTCCTTCCTTCCTTTCTTCCTTCCTTCCTTCCTTCCTTCCTTCCTTCCTTCCTTCCTTCCTTCTTTCCTCCTTCTTTCTTTTTTTTTTGATTATAAAGGAAATACTATATAATAAAAGGGTAATATGCAAATTGTCCCCATGAATGGGAGTTCCATCGAATTCGACCAAGGGGCAGGTCTGGCCCACCAACCACCCTGGGGTTCCTCCCTGACCTGCAGCCAGACCCCACCTATGCACAAATTTATGCATTGGGCCTCTAGTGTTAATAATAAGTGTTTATTTTTTATTTATTGCTTTGAAAGAGAGTGAAACATCAATTTGTTGTTCCATTTACTTATTCATTCATTGGTTAATTCTTGTATGTGCCAACAGGGGATCGAACCTATAACCTTGACATATAGGGACAATGCTTTAATGAACTAAGCTACCCAGAGAGCGCCCCTTGTACTTTCAAGTAACCTGAATTTGGTTAAGTCATCTTCTGCTGCCTTAGAGAAAACAGAGAGTTGTTTCTATGTGTGCTTTATGAAGGATGCTAGTAAAGTGTGCAAACTAATCGCCAACAATGCACTAAAGTCAGGTGAGTTGAGAGGATGTGACATAGTATATTACAAATGTCTGCTACAGATGCTTATTAAAATATAAATAAAAGGCATCTAAATAGATGCATGCACCCTCTTAAATCTTAAATTATTTTAGAGGACATGTTTTTTGTCTGCCCAGTATGACTTCCTTTGTGGAAACACCATGTTCCTCATCCTATCTAATAAAAGGGTAATATGCAAATTAACCATCACTCTGCACAAAGATGGTGGCACCCATAGCCACAAGATGGCGGCACCCAGTCCTTTCAGCCCTGCCAGAGTCCCTCAGTCTGAGGGAGGTGGCCACTGAGAGTAAGCAGCATGAGTGGCCTTGGGGAATGCTTGCTTCATCGCCGTGATGACGTGGCAAGCATTCTGTGACTGGCTGCAGATGGGCCTCTGGGCCACAGAGAGCCTTTGGGGCAGCGGGCACAGAGTAGCCAGGCCCAATAGAGAGCTACTGGCACATGGATTCGTGCACAGGGCTACTAGTCTTATTATAATTGTGTTTGTTCTATGTGGTATGCTAAATAATATAGTGCCCCCAAAAATGCCACAATTCCCAGAACCTGTAAATTATGACACATTTCATGGCAAAGAGGAATTAAGTTTTCAGAAGGAATTAAGATTGTCAGTCAGCTGACCTTGACGTGAGAGATTATCCTAGATTATCTGGTGGGCCCAATGTAATCAGGGCCCTCATAAGTGCAAGAAGGAGACAGAACTGGAACCAGGAGGGGGACAGCACGAATTAGGTGTGTCTGGATTTGGAAGTGGGGAGTTTTCAAAGACCTCACCTGGAAGTGACACACTTCCCATCCACTAACCTTTCATTACCAGGAATACAGTTCAACTCAAGGCAGCTGGGAAATGGGGTTTATTGGTCCCAGGAGAAAGAGGAAAAGGATTTCAGGAACAGCTGGGCATTTCAGCCTCATAAGTTTGGCTGTGAAATTCTTCCCTTTTTAATCTAACTGGAATTTATATCCATGCCAACAGATTCACCATGAATATAATCACTTACTTAAATCACGTATCTAAACGCTGCTCAAATTCTACTTTTACAGAAAGAGCACGTGATGACCACCTTCTCTTCTTTTTTCTTTGTTAACCCTTTAAAACAAATCATGCTCTTCTAGCAGCATATGTGGACTTAGATGAAAAATGATGACCATCTTCTCTTGAGCTCCTAGACCTTAGAGTATTGCATAACAATATTTTTGTTTCCCAGTGTTTAACAAGATAGAGAGAAGGGAAACCAACTGAGGGTGACGAGAGTACTATCAGAAACCCTGGGGGACTTTTTCCACCCACACATGTATTCCCCCATAGATAGAGATCTGTTTCCAAGGAAGCCTGGCTCTGTCTCACAAAAGCTCAGTTCAGTGGTATTAAGTACATTCATATTATTGTGCAACCATCCCCAGCATCTACCTCATAGCTTTTTTTTTTCCTTAAAATATTTTTAATTAATTATTTTTAAAAGATAGAAGAAGGGAAAAGGAGAGAAAAACTGATGTGAATGAAACATTGATCAGCTGCCTCCTGCATGCCACCTACCAGGGATCTAGCTTGTAACCCAGACATGTGCCTTGACTCAGGAATAGAACTGGCAACCTTTTGGTGCACGGAACAATGCCCAACCAACTGAGCCATACCGGCCAGGGCGCCCTGGAGCTTTTCCCATGTTGTAAAACTGAAACTCTGTATCCATTAAACAATACATTTTCTTCCCCCTCTCACTTCACACCCCTCCACCCTTGACAACCAGCATTCTACTTCTGTCTCTATGATTTTGACTACTCCAGGTACCTCGTATACATGAACTCAAATAGTACTTGTCTTTTGTAACTGGCTTATTTCACTTAGCATAATGTTCTCAAGTTTTATGTAGTAGAATGTCAGAATTTCCTACCTTTTTTAAGCTGAATAATATTCCATTGCATTTATATCTCACAATTTGCTTATCCATTCATTTGTCAATGGACTTTGGGGTTGCTATTAACTTTGGCTATTGTGAATAATAATGCTATAAACATGAGTGTACAAATATCTCTTTTAAACCTTGTTTTCAGTAACTTGAGGTACATATCCAGAAATGGAATTGTTGGATCCTATAGTAATTCTACATTTAATTTTTTGGAGTAACTGCCATACTATTTCCACAACAACTATACAGTTTTATATCCCCACCAATAGGGCATAAGGATTCCAATTTCTCCACATCTTCACCAGCCCTTGTAATTTTCTGTTTGTTTAGGGTTTCTTTGTTTGTGTGTGTGTGTGTGTGTGTGTGTGTGTGTTTTATAGAATCCATACTAAATGGGCATGAAGTGGCATCTCATTGCAGTGTTGATTTGCATTTCTCTAATGATTAATGATTAGCATCTTTTCATGTGTTTGTTGGCCATTCTTTGAAACATGTCTATTCAAGTCCTGTGCCCATTTTTGAATAGTTTTTTGTTGTTGTTGGAGTTTAAAAGCTCTTTATACATTCTATATATTAAACACATCAAATGTATGATCTTACCTTATAATAGACAAAGATGTAAATCGACCATACCTCTGCTACACCCACCACCAATCAGAGTGAGTATGCAAATTAGAAGGCCAAAGATGGTCGATGCCCAGCTGCTCCAGGTATGGAGTGGTCAGGCAGTGCAGGATGCCTGCTATGAGAGGGAGGGCAGGGGTGAAGGGATCTACAGGAGCAGAGTGCCATATTTAAGACAAGACTGCAGAGAAGAGGAAAAAGGCATACTCTGGCAAGAGCAAAGGCCTGGGTCCTGGGTGCCAGAGGAAAACCAGTGCTGGAAGCCAAGGAAATGAAGGCCTATTGCATGAATCTTTTCATGCAATGGGCCTCTAGTTTGAAAATATTTTCTCTCATTACACAGGATGCCTTTTTACTTTGTTGATAGTGTTCTAGGTGCACAAAATTTTTCATTTTTATGGAGTTCAATATTTCTATTTTTTGCTTTTATTTTCTATGCCTTTGGTGTCACTTTCAATAAATAATTCTCAAATCTAGTGTCATGAAGCTTTTGCTCTATGTTTTCTTTGAAGAATGTTGTAATTTTAGCTCTTATGTTTAGATCATTTTGAGTTAATTTTTGTATTGGTGTTAGGTAAGGGTCCACCAACACCTTTTAAAATATTATCTAATTTAATCCTGTGACAACCCAGTGAGATAGGTACATATAATCCCCATTGTACAGATAACACAAAGATCGGTGATGTGCCAAAACCTGTTTGGCTCAATAGAGCGTTGGCCTGCGGACTGAAGGGTCCCGGGTTTGATTCCGGTCAAGGGCATGTACCTTATTGCAGGCACATCCCCAGGAGTGGGTGTGCAAGAGGCAGCTGATCGATGATTCTCTCTCATCGATGTTTCTAACTCTCTGTCCCTCTCTCTTCCTCTCTGTAAAAAATCAATAATGTATATATTTTTAAAAAAATCGGTGATGTTACTTGCCCAAGGTGACACAACTAGCGAGGATTCAAACCCCTTTTGGACTGACTGCAGATCCTACTCCACTAACCCCTTCAGAACATTCTTTTCTTGTTTTCTGTGCCTCTGTGTGCACACCTGTTTTCTGCTGCCTGGTAAACCCTCACTGCTTACAGCAGGTGCTATAGGTGTTCCACCCATATCCTGTTGGCCCCCGCCAGTTTAGTTCATGTCAGCCAGACTTCCAACTGCCAGCACCTGCAACTTTTTGCCTGAGAGCTTTCTGAAGTGCTGGTGCCTGCTCTGCACATGTGATGGGCCAGAAGTGCCAGAAAATTAATGCCCCAGGAGATACTTTCAACCAATGATGATAGGAGTGGTCATCCCCCTGCACTCTTGTCCCTTGAGTATGATAGTTCTAAGACATGATCTACACTGTTTCCCCGCATCCCTCAGCAGATTAAGCTCCACTTGTTTACAATGGTTAATTTGCTTGATAATTCATTTATGTTGACTTCTTTCCTTTCCCTGTCTCACTTTCTCACTCCATTACTGGTATTTCCTGGAATTATCATCTAAAACTTGGGGTTGTCTTCTGGGGGAATCTGACCTAAGACACTGCTCCTTCAAAACCCAGCTCAAACTCCTTCTTCTCTGGGAAAGTCTTTTTCACTTTCATCCTCTGCCCATTGCTGGGCCCACTCCTTGACGATCACATCGGCTCACACTGCCTTGCACAGGTCAGTTTACAAGTCGGTGTTATGTTTTCTATTGCTGCTGTAACAAATTATCACATAGTAGCTTAAAACAACACCCATTTATTGATAATTTCATATATATTATTGATTTTACATAGAGAGGAATTGAGAGGGATAGAGAGTTAGAAACTTCGATGAGAGAGAAACTCTTGCACACCCCCTACTGGGGATGTGCCCGCAACCAAGATACATGCCCTTGACCGGAATCGAACCGGGATCCTTCAGTCCGCAGGCCAACGCTCTATCCACTGAGCCAAACCGGTTTCGGCACAACACCCATTTATTATCTCACAGTCCTGTAGGTCAGAAGTCCAAGTACAGCTGATTGAGCTCAGTGCTATGCTTGAAGTCTCCTGAGGTTGTATTCAAGGTGACAGAGAGCAATGCTTTGCTCCTTTATGGAGGGCCTGAGAATGGATCAGCTCCCAAGCCCATCTAGGTTGTTGGCTGAACTCAGTTTCCTGTGGTTGTAGGACTGAGGTCTCGATTTATTTTCTGGTTGTCCACCAAGGGCCAATCCTTTGAGACTTCCTGCACTACTTCTCATGCTTTCTAAGTGGCCCCCTCCAGTACAAGCAGGTCCAGCTGGAGAAAGTTTTCTGCTTATAAAGGCTTATGTAATTAGATTGGGCCCAGATAATCCAGGATAATCTCCCTATTTTAAGGTTCTTAACCTTAATTCCACTTGCAAAGTCCCTTTTATCATGTAATATAAGGTACTTACAGAATCCAGGAAGTAAGAAATAAACATCTCACCTGGCTGACGTGGCTCAGTGGTTGAGTGTTG